TTTAGAGATGTACATCTAGATGATGAAACTGAGAATGTCACTGATATTGGGAAAGGTTAGATATAGATTTTGAATTTTTTTTCATTGAAATTTATATTCAATAGTGTAATACATATAAACTTTTTTGTGATTACAAATATTTGTAGAATCTATTGGTGGAGTGGAAGTTCAAGATGTAGGAGAATGTCAAGACCAGAAAAATCCAAAAGAGATAAGAGTAACAGAAAAAATTTGTAAATGTGGATTGCAATCTCAGGAGAAATTAGAAAGTCCTTTGGGAACAAGTGTCAATGAGATTGTATGCAAATGCTTAGAAGGAACATATGATCTGTCTACACCTCTGTCATATAAAGAGAAATTTGGAGTTCAAACTTGTGCCAATCAAGGTTAGATAAAATTTTCATTATATATTGAATGTTAGTTTTAGTGAATTATTAGAGTGGGTATTAATTGCAAATGTTACAGAATCTTTTGAAGCTACAAGTGAAGAAGCTAGAGTGGAGTATCAAGAGAAAAGTGGAGTACTATCTCAACACGTAGAAAATACTGAAGGAACAAGCAGAAGTGAGATTGTTTCCAAATGCATAGATGGAACATGTGATCTCTCTACACCTCCCTCTCTTACCGACAATATTGGAACCCAAGAAAATGCTAGTGAAGATAATGATAATTAGGATGATCTTGACTATTGCAAACGGTTAGACAATGTTTTTTTTTAATTTTATACATGTTTGTTTTAATCAAAGATTAGTAACAAGTAAATGTTCAGTTGGAAGATAAAGAAAATGATGCAAGCAATATGTTAGCTAAATTGTCTGTTGAAAAAACACAAGAAGGCAGTGTGAACAAGACAGGTATTGATTATGTCCTAAATATTATATTCATAATTGAAATTTTGTCTCTTCATTTGACAACTTGCAGCAAACTAATATATATATATATATANTGAGGTAAAAGGAACAAGAAGCTTAGTTGGCAGTTGAAATCTCCTTTTGATTAGGAAAGAAAAACAGGAACATCGATGGCAGACAATCAAAATACTCCCAAGAGTTCAAGCTGGATAAAATCAACATATACTCGTAGGTGTATTTTTCATTATGCCACAAATGATGCAAAATTATTGAAGAAATTTATTGTGTGGTTGGGCAAGGAGAAAAGGAGAGGTCACAAAAAAGAGTAAGTCCCTTAATGTATTTCAGTATTGATATTGAAATTGCTAAAGTTAAGTGTCCTTAACTTCTGTCATTGTAAGTCTAAGTTTAGGACCAAGTGTCCTTAACTTTTGAACTTGATACTCAAAGTTAAGGACAGACAGTCCTTAAGTTTTGAACTTTGAACTCAAAATTAAGGACATGAGTCCTTAACTTTTGAACTTGTAAGTCAAAGTTCAGGACCATGTGTCCTTAACTTTCGAACCTGTAATTCAAAGTTAAGGACAAACAGTCCTTAAGTTTTGAACTTTGAACTCAAAATTAAGGACATGAGTCCTTAACTTTTGAACTTGATACTCAAAGTTAAGGACAGACAGTCCTTAAGTTTTGAACTTTGAACTTAAAGTTAAGGACAAAGTATCCTAAACTTTTAAACTTGTAAGTTTAATTTCAGGACCATGTGTCCTTAACTTTTGAACTTAAACTCAAACTTCAAGACCAAATGTCCTTAGCTTTTAAACTTGTAATTCAAATTTAAGGACTGTCTGTCCTTAATATTTCAAATTGAAAGGCTAAGTTCAAGACTAACTTCTAACTTTGATATTTTCAAAATTTTTAGGGGACAAACTGATATATATGATGATGATAATAGTGTGAAAAAGAATCCATACAAATTGTATCATCAAAAAATCAGTAGCAAAATGTTCTTCCTTGAGCTTTCAGATAGCAGCTTTGTACTTGATGATAAGGTTAGATAATTCGCAACGCATTTATTTTCTTTATTCTTAATTTATTATTTTTTAATTATTTTATAACTGATGGATTTGTTTTATTTTTTGCCTTTTTATGAAACATATTGACATTTTCCTATATTATCTGAAAAAGAAGGAATGCTACCACCCTCACGACCATCCTTTTCGTTGCACAACTACTGATATTCTTTTTGATAACTATATGGTGCTTGTGTATAAAGATTTTAGTGAAGATTCTACTGATGACTTTTGGTGTGCTGGTGATAATCAGTTGTTTGTGACACCATATGTGTGGGGGGACAGTCTTAGATGTGGAATTGCTTGGATAGAGGTTGACAAAATCTTTTTTCCATGTTGGCTCCCTTCAGAAGATGATAATGTTGTGACACACTTTCTTTTGGCGGTATTGGACTTGAATCAGAAAAAAATTGATGTATACGATTCCATATATAGTGAGCCATATGAGGCAGGAATGAATCACATGGAAATGTATGCATGCATGATCCCCCATTTGCTAAAGTTCTCACAGTTTGACAAACATCACAAGTCTTTTGGAAATGCCTTCAACAAATTTGATATTCAGTGGCAAAGATCACCACACCAGACTGGATTGTACGTGTTGTTATTTGTTATATTATTTATATGTACTTTAGATTTATTGTTTAATTCACTGCATATCTTACATTTTTCTTAGGACTGATTGTGGTGCATTCCTGATCAAATATGTGGAGTTGTTGATGATTGGAAAGGATGTGGAGAAATTCCAACCTAAAGACATTAAATACTTTAGAAAAGAACTCGCCGCAAATATTTGGGCACATGATGAGTGGAAAAGAAATTCTGGTTATGATACACCACCAGAAAATATTGGCGATGATTATGAGAGTGAAAATGAAACTTACTATCCAAAGGAGTTGTAGTTTAGTTGTAAAGAAAGTTAGTTGTGGTTAATCTTTTGTATAAAATTACTGTAAAGAATCCATATGAATTCTGCAAGTTCAGAAAACTTCTGAAATATTCTGTAAATTCCTCAAAAGGCACTTATATTTTGTTTGCGTAGCATAAGTTTTTGTCACAGCTACGCAAAATTACAATTTCAGAAGTAATATCAAGGCATCATGTTATTAATTTCTTTGTTTCTCTCAAGTGTTCATTTGTCCATTGAGTTTGTTAGTATTAGTTAATGACTAAGTGTAATTGAACTTCAAATTCAAAGTTAAGGACCAAGTGTCCTTAACTTTTGAATTTTGAACGTGTAATTAAAACTTAAGGACTGTCTGTCCATAACTTTTTAACCTGCAAGTTAAACTTAAGAACTCTTGTCCTTAACTTTTGAACTTGAAACTCAAAGTTAAGGACAGATAGTCCTTAAGTTTTGAACTTTGAACTATAAGTTAAGGACTGCATGTCCTTAACTTTTGAACTTGAAACTTAAAGTTAAGGACAGACAGTCCTTAAGTTTTGAACTTTGAACTATAAGTTAAGGACTGCTTGTCCTTGACTTTTGAACTTTCAACACAATGTTAAAGACTGCTTGTCCTGAACTTTTGAACGTGTAACTCAAACTTAAGGACTGCATGTCCTTAACTTTTGAACGTGTAACTCAAACTTAAGGACTGCATGTCCTTAACTTTTGTAAAGTTAAAAACATACAGTCCTTAACCTTTGAACTTTGAACTCAAAGTTAAGGACTGCATGTCCTTAACTTTTGAACGTGTACTTCCAACTTAAGGACTGTCTGTCCATAACTTTTTAACCTGCAAGTCAAACTTAAGGACTCATATCCTTAACTTTTGAACTTGAAACTTAAAATTAAGGATTGTCCATCCTTAACCTTTGAACTTGAAACTCAAAGTTAAGGACAAACAGTCCTTGAGTTTTGAACTTTAAACTATAAGTTAAGGACTGTCTGTCCTTAACTTTTGAACCTGTAACTCAAAGTTAAGGACTGCATGTCCTTAACTTTTGAACCTGCAAGTCAAACTTAAGGACTCTTGTCCTCTTTTTATCTTTGAACTCAAAAGAAACAAAAAGAAGGTAAGCAGAAAGAAATTTTGAAAATTCAGACATCTGCTCAAATAAGAATAATCTAAATGAATCCAATTTATAGCAAAAACTTAAAAAAGTCGATAAACAAAAGTGGATATATCTACTATTCTCTATGCTTTCTTGAAAATGGATGGACTGCAGGAGAATATATACAAGATGTTCTATTATGACCAATTCTTTTGCAACGGCCACATTTGAATGTTATGTTTGATGACTCAGTAGTTGGAATATGCCTTTTCTTCTGCCTTCTACCTGGTGGCACTTTGAAATCTGGAGGTTTAACAATTTGTGACTTAACACTCTCTAGTACAATCCAAGAATCAGTATGTCCTACAGGATGTATTTGTCTTTCATATGTTTTCAGCCAAGATTCCTTTAAGTACTAGTGCGAACAAAAGTTAGACTTCTTGATGTTTCTCTTCTTGATAGCTGCAATTGCGTGTATGCATGGTAATTCATCAAATTGAAACTGAAAACAATCACATGTTGTTTTGTTTAAGTCCACCAAGAAAGTTATTCCCTCTTCTTCAACTCTAGAACGCCATGAATCAACAGGGAAGACCTTCAATGTTGAAAAATTATAAGGTAGTACATTATGTTAAATTATATTAAAATCATAAGCTAAACATAGAACATAATACTTACATTCAAAGTAAATGCTAAATCTATTTTTTTTTCTTCAATTCCTCCTCTATCCAACAAGAAACATCATAAAAAGTTCCTTCTGCTTCATTTCTTCTTTCATAAAACCAACGTTTTAGCTTCACTTGAATGAGATCCATCATTCTTAATATAGGCAGCTCACTTGCTTCTAATAGGACAGAATTCATTGACTCAACTATGTTTGTTGTGAGCATGTCATATCTTCGTCGTGGACTACAAGAATGTGCCCACCTTTTCGATGGTTCTTCCATCAAGTAGTCATAAGTCTTCTTATCTACTTTTGCTATATCTGACATGTATAGGTCAAATTCTTTGCGCCTGTATACTCTTGCAGCACTTTGAAAAGTTTTATGACCTCACTTTTCACCTTCCTTCGCTTTAGGTTCTACTCCAAATGATAGATGCAAATCCCATGATGGCTTTCAGGATATACCTTTGCAATGTCATATGCAATAGCTTGATGCCTGTCTGATAAAAAAATTAAATTCTCATGGCTCCCAATTGCATTGCGAAGCTGATTAAAGTACCACTCATAGGAATTGTTATTTTCAGATTCTGCTATTCCAAAGGCTAGTGGGAAAATTTGGTTATTTGCATCCTTTGAATCTGAAATTATTAAAACATCACGAAATTTTGACTTCAAAAAGGTTGCATCAACAGAAATCACTGGTCTACAATGATTCCAACCAGATATTGATGATCCATATGCATAAAACATATAAAGAAACCTGAAAATGCAATATAAAACAAGGTTAAAAGAAATTAATGACATGTAGTCCTGAACTTCAGATTATAAGGTTAAAAGTTAAGGACAATCAGTCCTTAACTTAGAGTTTCAAGTTATAAAGTTAAGGACATGCAGTCCTTAACTTTGAGTTCAAAGTTCAAAACTTAAGAACAGACAGTCTTTAACTTTGAATTACAAATTCAAAAGCTAAGGACAGTCAGTCCTTAACTTCTGGTTACAACTCAAAAGTTAACTGGTTAAAGACAGCATGTCCTAAATTTTATAAAATGTGCTAATAAACTTTTTTTTGATTGTCTACCTGTTATTGTCGTCTATTTTTATGTTAGTATAAGTTCCCGAATTTTTACTTGTCATCATATACAAGTATGAAGACAATAATTCATAATTCTCTTCGGGAGTTCCTCTTATTAAAGCGGAAGTAAGTTGAATAGTACGCCACGCCTTGTGATATCCAATGTCTAGTCCATGCAACTTTTGCATCTCTACCATGACAAAAGCTGGTGTAACTTCAAACCTTGGGCCTCGAAGATTGTCAATAATGTAACCACTAATCAACTTTAAAGTTACATGCCTTTGATCAGCTTTCATAGTGTTAACAGAGCAGTCATGCTTTTTCTCAATCTTTACTATCTTGAACAGTGTTGAATCTTTAATTCTAAAAGCACGCACCCACCAACCACACCTATCATCATTGCATTTCAACAAATATATTGTTGAGCTTGATCTAACAACCTTGAATTCAAAATGTCCTTTAATTGCTATGCTCGAAAAATAGTTAATTATACTCTTCTTTTTGTCAAATACTAATCCCACTTTTATTTCATCCAACGAAGCATTTTCTCTTAATATCATAGTTGGGGATTCTTTTTGTTTCAAATTTGATCTTCGTCTAGTTAGTTGAGTAGAGATTTTTTCAGCAACTTCTTCGATTACCAGTACACTCTCTAAGACTTGAATACCCAAAGCTTGTTCGTTGTCAATCTCTATAATGATTTGTCCTTCTACATGAATAGAATCAAATGTTTGAAGCACCTCTTTAGTTATTGGTTGAGCTTCAACCATATCTATTTCCATTATCTGTTGGCATTTGTTTTGATTGTCATGTTGAGTTTCTCTGTTGATATGTGTTTGAAGCACCTCTTCAGTTATTGCTTGAGCTTCAACCATATCCATTATTTGTTGGCATTTGTTTTGATTGCCATGTTGAGTTTCTGTGTTGATATGTGTAAGCACGTGATTTTTGCCCTACATGAGAATTACTCCCAGAAAATTCAAAATAAAATGATTTTCCTNAGTCGTTGAGTCCGGGTAGATTTATTCCCATCTAAGGTTCGTCGAAACAGTTCATACAATCAAATTTGTCGTTTTTCATCTCCGGTTAGTAGTTTTTTTGAGTTTTATTTTGTCCGCATTTTGTTTTGATATTTTCGAATCTAAAATCGGCAAATGTGTGTTTTGTTCATGTCTATGTTTAGATATTTGATTTATTGTTTTGTTCATGTTCATGTGTTTTTGTTGAATTAATTTTCAGATTTCAAATAGAAGTTAATTAGTTATTTTTCATGTTTATTT